CTGTCGGTAACTGAGGCCGAAGGTTCAAAATCCTCCATGCTGGGAAGGGCCCGTAACTTACTGAGTGTCCAGAGCTGCATCAACAGAATAGGCACCACTTCTCCAGCTGGCTGTGCTCTGGTGTTCAGGCAGTCACAGGTCAGAGCTGCAGTCAAATGCATTTAGGATATGGTAGCTATTTCTGATGGCATCTGTGTTGGATTTGGCCCTTGAAGCTTTGCTGCGTTTCTGGACTGTGATGGAGCATGGGCTGGAGCCAGCTGTGTAGGTCAGAGCAGGGAGCTTCTGCACGTAGGCAGAAGCCTAAGTTCAGCACACAGGGAATTTTAAACATAGCTGCAGGAATTAAATCAAGAGTTGAAAGACTTTATATCTTGCTTTAAGTGTGCCCAATTGAAAATGCCCTCTCTGGCTTAGAGACAGCTTTCCAAGAAAAAACTGCCAAGATTTCCTTTGGAGAAAGTAAATCTTGGAAGGAAGATTTTCCTTTGGAAATCTTTCTTGCAGATTGTCTTGATATTCATTATCCCCGGCTTGTGTTTAGGTAGCTGGAAGTACCATGTAATGGACTTATTTTTTTTGCCTTGGCTCTCTTTGAAAGACTCCGCACTTCACAGGTTTTTAATATCCCTGTGCTCATAGGTATGCTAAACTATTCATTGCAACATAGGAAACTTTCAGGAAAACCTCTCCAAAATTATTCTCCTTTTCTCTTATAGTTCTGAGAAATAATTTAAATTTGTATAACAAAACTAGTATCTGGTGAGAAAAGCAAAGTATGTCTGCTCTGTGCTAGCTGTTTTTTCAGTTTTGCAGGAAACTGACTTGTTTCTGACAGATTTGCTTTTGACGAGCACTTAAAAAAAAAAAAAAAAAGACAGTGTTAGAGAAGGTGCATACCTATATGTGTAAGTGCTATGATTGTATACAACCTGGTTCTTTCGAAGCCAGGTTAAAAATAAAATGTCAAAGCATGGTTTTATTAGAAAAAAGCTAACCTTTTGTTTAGTTGTCATTCCATTCCTCAGACAAGTGTGTTCGCCCAAGTTCTTTCTTTAGGGAACAGTGTGTATTAATTAGTGACTTTCTAGATCAGGTCTATTTTAATGTGCATATGTCTGCATGCTCCTCCTCCTAGTATTTCTGCAGGCTCCCAGTAAGCTTTTCCTCACCTCCCTGTTTTCACTGGGATATCAAATAGCTCTTCATGGGTAGTTATCCATTTACACTTTTGCTTAAGCTCTCGGAAATGTTTGGACTGGATTGCAAGCAAAATGCAGATTTAAGGAATGTTATTTTAGCTTGCTGCACACTGAGTACCTTGGAAGGTAAAGAAAGCAAACTTGTGCCTTGCTATAGACTTTCTGGTTAAAGTACCAAGAAACATGGAGCCACAGGGGTCTGCTGACCCCCTCCGTCCATCCCATGAAGTATTTCTGTAGTGTGGCAAAGAATCAAAGCTTAACTGAGTCATGCAGTTATTTTAAATATTCTGCATTAGCCTTCCTTTATTTCTTGACCCCCTTCAAAGGAAATGTAAATGATTTTGAGAACTCTAGGTTTATTTGCTAAATGCTGCAGTTAAAGCATTCTCATGCTAATTACGTTGGCACATGTTAATTTTTTTCTATCAAGGTAATTTTATAGGTCTACTATAAGATACAGCACAAAAAGCAGTTCTCTATCCATTAGCAGGGGAGTAAAGCAACTGAAATGAAGCTCTTATACCAGCTGTGGCACTGTAGGATTAGTGATGGGGAAGTGCAGTCAAACACCTACTGAGTAAAGGCAGGGAGAAGGTGGGGGACAGTCTCACAAGCACTGGGAGCCGGGGCTGTGCGCTGTTCCCGTGACAGGACAGATGAGGTCGTAATCAGACCCTGTATCTCTGACACTGCAGCCAAAATGTCTCTCCTGGTGCAAAGAACAAGGATGTGTAGTATGCATGCAGGTGCCACACGACTAATTGATGTGTATATATTGCCCAAGAATTCCCTCCTGCATATTTTGCATTCACTTTACTGTCTGGCTTTTAACAGTTTGGCCTGTACTCTATTTTTCTTTACTGCTTGTTTGTAATTCTAAATCTGTTTGTCCCTCCCTGTACCCAATGTGTCTTATTCTCACAGTGCAATTGTGCTGTAAAGGCTTTTAATGGGACCCTCTAGCTAGCAGCATAAAATTCTAAGTACCTTACATAATAGAACAATCACAGGCGCAGAAGGAAAAAAATGTTTGGGAATGTTATCCTCATCAAAATACTAAGGTTGGATGTTACTCTGGATTCATATCATGTTAGGGAAAAATCTGACTTGAACTAAATGAACTAAATATAGTTGTTTGCTTTTTTCCTCCCTTTTGTTTCCTCTGGATGCACAAGTTCCCCTCTTGGTTAGGAATCCTTTTCCTTTTTCCTCTGCTTTCTTCCTAGCCTGGCTATACCTTTAATGCCGTAAGGTGGTATTCTGTCTCTGTACTTTTAATGCCACAAAGCGCAGGTTCCTCTCGCGGAGGCAGCAATAGGTGCGTTCAGGGGGTACCTCCCTTCAGGGGGACTCAGTTACCCCTTCTGCAGCTCCGTGCTGATTCCATCAGAACTAGATGGTTTCACAAGGAAATGTCCTAGTTTCTCTCGCCTAGTAAAGCTGCTGTAGGGCCATCTCTGCAGGCAGTTCTTAAGGACGTCAGATTGTTTATTTTATGTTTTTAAACCTCTCTCTCTCTCTCTCTCTCTCTCTCTCTCTCTCTCTCTCTCTCTCTCTGTTGGACCATTTTGCAGGTAGTGCTTTGTAATTTTAGTGCAGTGCAATGGTAGCGCGGGTGTGGGTGAAGGGGAAGCGCGTTACGGGGGGCTGTAGTTGTCTCCGTTATCCAGGGCTGTGCCCGTCTCTTCCCAGCTTCCCGCAGCGGAGGCGGCAGCTCCCGGCTTGCCCCGCTCCTGCTCCCTCCCGCATAACCGGCTCCTTAGCACTGTGTCCAGCCCGTGTGGGTGGCCCCGCTCCCCCAGTTCATCCGGTTCCTCCTCTGCTCTCTGTGCGCAGCTCTGTGCGGCCGGTGCAGCTTTGAGCGCCTGAGCACGGTGGCGGCGCTGCCTCCTCGTGAGCGGTGCCAGGGGAGAGGTCTCCGCACGGGATGGAAGCGGAGCAGGGTCAGGTGCGGGAGGCCTGTGCACTTGGGAACGGGCGGCAAAAATGCTCTTTAACGCGGTGTTCCCTTACGATCCTCCTGCAGCTGGACAGGGCATCCATGTGGCCGGAGTCATCATCACTTAGAGCTGTGCTATAGACAGGGCTCAACACCAGGCCTGGCCTCTTTTCTCCTTTAGAAAACTGGAAATAAGTCAGTGCTCTCAGCCTGCAGGAAAGGTGGCAACTTTGAATTAGGGGCGAACAGAGGGATCTCCTGAGATCGCGTTGCTGCCCAAGGCATTTAGCCAGGCCTGATGCAGCAGCTCACAGCGCCTGAAAATCACACACGGCAGCACCAGCGCGCCTGCATATCTGAGGGATTATACTTTAATTTTCACTACCGTTCACCTCTTCGCGTTTTAACTGTGTTTATCTTCAGTACAGGAAGGGGGAGGAGGAGGAGGCAGGCTTCTCCTTTCGCGGGAAATCCGTCGCTGTTACCCCGCGGAGCGCGGGAACGGCGGGGCGGGGCCAAAGCTCGGGGCGGGACCAGGGGCGGGGCCTCTGCAAACCCCGCCCCCTGAGCGCGGCCGCTGCCCGCTCTCGCGATAGGCCGCGGCGCGCGTTGCTAAGCGACAGGGGCGCGCGGCCGCAGGCGCCCCCGGCCCCGCCAGGTAGCGCCGGCCGCG